CAAGATGTGGAACGGCTGGAACAGCAAATGGTATGGCAATTCCTCAAAAAGTAAAACAGAAAATTCTCTTCCAGGCAGCAATTCCACTTCTGGGTGTGCACAGGTGTGAACAGATTTCTTGCACACTAGTGTTGGTAGCAGCAACACTCCCACAGCCAGAAAGGTGGAGGCGACGAACCTGTGCGTCACATCAAAGAGTAAAACGTGGGCCCACAGAGGAGGGGCCGTTGCTCAGCCTAAAGAGCAGTGCAACTCCAACACGTGCTGCAGGAATACCTTGGAAATCACTGTGCCTCGTGAAGTGCCTGTTCAGGTCCTTTGCAGATTTAAGCGGGTTACCTTTTTATCATGGATTTGTAAGAGTTTTTAAAATATATATCCTGGCAATTAGAACCTTACAGATCGACAGGTCTTTTCACTTCCTTAATGACATCCTTTGGCGCTTACAAGTTTTGTTTGATTGATAGATGGTTTTGTTTTTCTGAGATAAGATCTTGCTATGCACAAAGTTCAGGCCGACCTCAAACTCAGGGAGATCCTCCTTCCTCAGCCTCTGGAGTGCTGGGATAGCAGGTGTGCACCACCACACCCAGCTCAGAAGTTTTAATTTTGATCAAATCCATTTTTTTCTCTGGTTGCTTGTGTTTTAGTGTCTTACATAAGGAGTAATCATCCAGTACAAGGGGATGAAGAGTCATCCCTATATTTTTGTCCAAGACTTTGCTAGTTTTAGCTCTTACATTTAGGTTCATGATCCATTTTTTGGACTCTCGATTCTACTTCATTGATCTGTAGTTTAAAAACTATTCCAGGACTTTTATTCTCTTCATTTCTGCAACTTTGTAGTAAGGTGTGTATGTGTGTGTGTGTGTGTGTGTGTGTGTGTGTGTGGTTTGAGACAGGGTCTCACTATGTAGCTCAGGCTGGCCTCAAACTCATGGCAATCCTCCTGCCTCAGCTTCTGAAGAGCTGGGATTACAGGTGTGGTTTAAGTTTTAAAATTGAGTTGTGCTGGGCACGGTGTATGGAACTGGTGCAGGAGGATCTCCATGAGTTTGAGGCCAGCCTGAACTACACAGTGAGACTCTGTCTTAAAAATAAATAAATTTTTAAAAACTGAGTTGTGAGGGCCGGGGATTTAGCTCAGTGGTTCCGCCACCTGCCTTGCAAGTGCAAGGTCCCAAGTTCGAGCCACGGTACCAAAAAAAAAAAAAAAATGAGTTTTTGCTGGGTCAGGGATTTAGCTCAGCGGTTTCGCCACCTGCTTCGCAAGCACCAGGACCTGAGTTCGATCCCCGGTACCCCCCCCCAAAAAAAAAAACCATAGTTTTTGCTATCCTGGATTTTGTGAATTTTACTATCAGCTTGTCAATATGTACCAAAAAACCAGTTGGGCATTGGGGGGTGTTGCATTGGCCTTTAGGATCTACCTGGAGAGTGTGCGGTAGATGCAGACATCTTGTGTTTCTGGTTTGGAAAGTAAGATCATCTTAACAATACTGCCCTCTAGCCATGCACATGGGATGTCTTTCCAATTATTTAGGTCTGCTGTATTTTTTTCAATGTTTTCTAGCTTTCAGAGTATAAATTTTGTATTTGTTAAATTTCTTTCTAGGGTCAGCCATGGTGGCACACACTTGTAATCCCAGCACTCAGGAGGCCGAGGCAGGAGCACTGCCATGAGTTTGAGGCCAGCCTGGGCTACATAGTGAGTTCAAGACCAGGCTGAACTACATATCGAGACTGTGTCAAAAATTAAAATAAAATAAAATTTTTAAAAACACATTTTCCTACGTGTTTTTTTTTGCTGCTACCATAAATGGATTATTTTGAGGTACTGGGATTGAACCCTCAGCCTTCACACAGCTCCGTCCCCAGCCCCTTTTTATTTCTCATGTTGAGCCAGGGTCACTAAGTTGCTAAGCTGTCCAGGCTGGGCTTGAACTCAGGATTCTCCTGCCTCTGCCTCCCAGAGTGCTGGGATTACAGGCCTGCATCACCAGGCCTGCCTGCTGGAATTGTTTTCGTAATTTTACTTATGCAATGTTTGCTGCAGGTGTATAGAAATGCACCTGCTTCCTGTATGCTGACCTTGTGTTCTCCTTGCTCCGTGTGGAGTTTGAAGTCACCCCCGCCGGCACATGGCTGAGAGGCGGTGCAGGTGAGGCTGGCAGCTGTAGCCCAGGGGGAGGGGCAGCCTGGGCAGCAGCAGCAGAGGACAGAGCCAAGCAGGTGGACTTGAGCCGAAGAGCTGGGTGGGGAAACAGAAGCATCAAGGACCAGAGCTGGCTTTCTGGCCTGGTCCCTCTTACAGGACTGAGAAGGGGTGAGGCAATTTCATTTTGGCAGTGCGGCTCCGATGTGCCTTTTCACAGCACAGGAGGCACTAAATTTTTAATACAGGGTCTAAGTTGTCCAGGCTGGCCTTGAACCTGTGGTCCTCCTGCCTCAGCCTCCCTCCCGGGACTACAGCCGTCTTTTCTTAATGGAAAGACTTGAAGTGCTATTTCAGATGGAGGGGCGGGGGTAGGGGAAGGGTGAAGATGCAGTGCAGGGAGAGGGACAGGAAGGGACAGCAAGGTCCCTGATGAGGTGGAGGGAAGAGAGGAGGAAACCAGGGCAGTTCGGGTATGAAGGGCTGCAGGAAATGCTCCTGCTGCCTGCTCAGCTGTCCCCACGCTGCCCCCCAGCCGGTCCTCCCAGCCTGCAGCAGAAGCCAGATGTGCTGCCAAGTGTCTCCCGGGGCCCCGCACCTATCAGCACTGAGGACCATTTCCAAGCCAACAGGTGTCCCCATGAGACAGATGCGGCTGTGTGCGAGCTCAGCTCTGGGAGCCGCCTTCACAAGCAGACTGCCCATTGCACGGCCAGCAATTTCCCCGCACACCGGATGTGGGGCAGGCTCAGCTCCCACTTGGCTCCCCTGAGCCCCTCAGCCAGGTCCCCTAATGCTGAGTGTGCATCTCTCCACAGGAGGCAGCCGGGGCTGGGCACAGATTCCCGGAGAGGCAGGCAGCACCTTGCCTCATCAGAGTGCGGAATCCACAAGGCCGACTTCCTGCTACTTCAGACCCTGGTAGTTTATTCCTTGGCACTCAAACGCTCTCAGTGGAGCAGGGCATGGTACCACATGCCCATAATCCCAGCTACTTGGGAGGCTGAGGCAGGAGAACTGCAATTTTCGGTCACCCTGGGAAATTTAAGGGAAACCTGGGTTCAATCCTCAATGCTAGAGAAAGGAAAGAAAAAAAGCTTTTGCCTATCAGATTGTCTTTCCTGACAATTACAATTTTTTTCTCTACTTGAAACTGCTGCTGGACCAGTGCACGAGCGCACACACACACACGTACGCACACACACATATCCACACACACACACACCCCGCATGCATCTGCTTGAGTACAGGAGGCTCCCACAGCTGACTTTTGGTTGCTGCTCAGCTGCTGCCCAGCCTCCCTCCCAGCCCCTCGGAGACCCCAGTGCCCGGCCAGCAGCTGCTGAGCACTCCCTACACCCAGGCCCAGGCCCTAGCTGGCTCCATACACAGGTGATGTCCCCCCAGGGGAGTCAGTCACTGGCTGGCCATGTCTGACGGTCATCAGCCACCTAGTGGGAAGCCCAGCAGCCCCTGGGGAGGTGGGCTTGCTGCAGGGGTGTGACTGGGGTGAGGGGCTCTGCGCCAGTAGCTTTTCCTGGGCTGAGACGGGCTCCGGGGTGTGCCATGGTCAGCCTCCCACACCAGGCCATCAGGCTCCACTCACCTGGGGCAGTGGGGATGGCAGGAGGGGCCAGGATCCCTGGGGAGAAGCCAAAGGGACCAAGGACAGCAAGATGCCCTGTCCCAACAGGCTCAGGGAGCCCCATGGCCAGGCCCCTGGCTGCTCTCTGCCGGCCATCTGGGGCATTGGCCATGTGACCCCAGGCCTGGGCTGCAGCAGGTTCAAGGTGACACGAGCCAAACCCCAGCAGGCAACACATCCCAGGACCCCTTCCCCTTCTGCACTTCTGGGATAGTGCAAAGCCACAAGGATGTCAACATCACCACAAACTCAACGGCACAAACCAACTCAGCCCTGCCCTAACTTCGGCGAGACTGTGCCAGGCCCGACTTTATTCCCTTCAGGCCCTGCCGTGTCCTGGCTTGGGCAGGGGCGGGCAGTGGCAGAAGCAGCTGTAGGCTCCGGTTTTGCAGTTCTCAAGCCAGGCTCTGGATGGTGAAATCACAGATCAGCTTGCTGTGATGTTAGGAAGACACCGGGGACCCCTCGCTCCTCCCCCAGGGTGCTCTGGATGGCCTGGCCCAGCCCAGGCGTGGCTCTGCAGACAGGCAGCTCCATGGGGCACAGCATGCGGTGCCTCTCGGACCGAGGAAGGCTCCGTGAGACTGCAGGGGAGCATGCAGCAGCACACACAGACCTGTCAAGTCAGCCGACTACATATTTTTAAACCATTTTTTTTTCTTTTTTTGGTACCAGAACTCCTTGCGCTTGCAAGGTAGGTGGTGGAACCACTGAGCTAAATTCCTGGCCCAACTGCGCATTTTTAGAGATGAGTTTCACTGTGTGAAAAATGCACTGCCGAGTGAAATACGGGGTTTGGGACCGGCTGACACTGAAAGGTGACTGGAATTCTGACCTGGGCGGGGAGACTGACAGAGCTACCTGACAGCTGGGGCCAGGTGGTGGCACATGGACAGCGCCTGTCACTGCGGGCTCCGCCCCGGGCCTCTGCCGTCCCCTCCCCTAGGTGGCAGCCCTGCCCAGGGGCTGATCTCTACAGCACCTGCTGGCTCCCCAGCAGGCATGCGGCATCTCTGGGAGGACTACCCCCGAGCTGCTCAGACCCCAGGGGCTGCTCTAGTTGATGTCAGTCATAGGTGGGAGCAGGTGGGGGCGGCAGTTAACTAATTTGATGAGCAAAAAGCACAAAGGAAAAATTACGAGGAGGAGGAGAAGAGAAAGCACCCAGGAGTCAGACTCACTGGGATCGCAGACATCCACTTCCGTCCTGGAGTCTTTATTGCACACGTCTGCTGCACAGCACCGGCTTCGCCCCGCCAGCACGGGCGATCCCTTGCCTGCCACACTTGTGCACAACACTCTTCAGCAGTCGTTAGTGTCAGCAGAATACCGAGGCCCCGCACCCCAATGGGCGTGCCACAGCCCTCCCACCGAGGACGCCTGCTGCTTCGGGGGTTGTGACCAGTGTGCAGGAGCTGCTGACCCTGGGACACTGCACGGCCTCAGACTGGGCCTCCTCAGGTCCCGGGGCGCCAGCGTGGGCTTCGCCATGTCCTTTCCCGACTGCATCTGGAAACTGACACTGCCTCCCAGTGTCACCTCTGACTTCCAGCCATCACCACCCACCAGGTCCCTGGTGCGCCGTGGTGACGGGGTCCTTGCTCCCCTACCCCAAGCATGTTCTTTCCACCCCGTACCCCAGGGGGTGCCACCCATGCCTGGGCTCGGCCACCTCAAAGCCAAGTTCTCCAGTCAAGCAGAGGGCACAGCGCACAAGGCTGCAGAAGAGCCCGGGGGATTCAGGGACCGTCTGGCCTGCCGACCACAAGCCACACTCCAGCTGCTGGTGGTGACAGGGACTCCAGGGGCTGTCCTCCGAGGACTCCCTGCCAGGACACCTTAGCGCAGATCCGGAGGGACCTTCAGTGTCCGGGAGCCACCAAGGGAAGGCCCAACAGGAGGCACAGGGCATGTGCAAGGCCGGAGAGGGCAAGGCGGGGCTGGAGCAGCAGGGGCGGAGGCTTCCTGTGGTTCAGCAGCTGGGCAGCCACAGCCTTCTCACGAGAGGCCAGGCCGAGCCCTGCAGGCTCAGGGACGGTCACCCAGTGCGACACTGCTCACCCAGGCAGCTCCGTGGCCCGCCCACACCCTGAGGGGCCCGCCCCGAGCCCCAGCGCCGCTGAGCCGCGTTCTCCCTCCCCATGCGCACTCAACTCGGGGTCTGGTCCTGGGGATGCTCCAGTCAGAGGCCCACCTGGCCCACAGGAAAAGCTCTTTAATGAGGATATGTCTGCGGAAGCCCTGCTTGACCACCGCCTTTCTGCCCCTGCTGCTGCGTGAGGAAGATTCTTCCCCGTTTGCTCCCAAAATCTGACCCTAAAAACAGATGCAAGCCGCAGAGAGGAGGCACATGGGGCCGAGGCGAGCTGGGAGTCCAGGAAAACCTGCAGAGGACACACTGGCAGCCCGTTCCTGCCACCTCCATTGAGGAAGCTGCGACGCTGAGGGCACCGGCAGCTGCAGAGGACCGAGCCTTCCTGGAAAGCACAGAGCCCACGTCCCGGCCCCAAGGGGTCCACACGGAGGTCTGGGCCACGCTTGGGCAGCAGCCCCACGACAGGTCTACCTAGTGCGCTGGGCTCTGACTTCGCTTTCTAGGGTGTCATCCCTTTGTCCCAAAGGTACGATGTCCTCCTCTCTCCTGGGTCCTCAGCAGCCATCTGGCCGTGTCCAGAAGCAGTGCCCACCCTCCCTGCCACCCGCATGCCTTTCCATGCTCTGCCCACCTGGGGTCACCGCTGCTTGGACCCTAGAGCTCCCAATGTAAGAAATTAACCAGCTCCGAGTCCGCGCTCCCCTGCACCTCCTCCCACCCCCTGAAGGACAGCCCCAGTCTCTGGTCAGCGCGGCTGCAGAGGCAGCGTCCATGGGCGGTGGCGAGAGTCTGTCAGAACGCTCCTGCTCCCCCAGGGCTTCGAATAAGTTAGATGTCTCCTCCGACAGCGTCCCCTGCGTCGGCCTCACTCGGTGCCTTCCCAGTCGCCCTGGGGCTCCACCGAGCCATTGGTCACCTTCTTGACTTTCTTCATGTTCTCCATCACCCCTGACGTCGTCACCCTGAGAAAGGGAAAAGGCCTGGTCAACGGGAAGACCTCAGTCATCGCCCAGGCTGCCTCCGCCGCCTCTCGGTGCGCAGGAGGCTGGGTGAGTCCCACCCTCTCCCAGCTCGCTGTGCAGCCTCAGAGGTCACCTGACTGCACTTTCCAGGACTGGCAGGGAGGAAGGGAGTCTCTCTAAGTCAGTGAACATCAGCTGCCCGACTCCGGTCCCCAGCAACTATTCTGTCGCGGCCGCCCGGGTTCTCAGGCTTTGTGAGCTCGAGGGCTGTGGCGCTGACCTCAGCCAGCTGCTATGGATCGCTTCCGGGTCGGAGCGCAGTTCCAGGCTCAGAGACTCCATGACAGCAGAGCTGCCGCTCTCTGCCCACCCTGCCTGGCCCGTCCAATGCCTCTGCCCGGGGGCGCCTGTCCCAGGAGCCGGGTGCTGAGCAGGCACTGAGCCAACAAGGTGGGCTGGGCTTGCCTGACAGCGGCATCCTCTCCAGGACGGGGCCTGGGGCCTGAGTGTGGGAAGCCATGGGCCCCACTTCGCCCTCATCCTGAGCTGTACAACTGGCTCAGCAGACTGGGCAGGGGCTGCCATGTCCTCCTCGGCCACCGGTGGAGGGTGGCAGCCTGCATCTGGCGTGCAGCTGCCCGTCACGAAGCATGAGGGAAGAAACTGCGTCCCCCACCCCCCTCCGAGCTGCTGCCATGACCGCTTTGACCACGCGCTTCTCCCAGGCACCCGGGGACCCAAAGGCTGTCTGTGCTGCGGCCATGCTAGGCCAGCGCACACAGTCTGCATGCGGGTCTCTGTCAGCAAGGGACCAGGTGTCGTCCCACAGACAGGAAGGAAGACCAGCCCGGTGTGCAGGTGCAGATGTAACAGCCAGGAGCCACCCAGCTCTGCACAACCCAGCCGGTGCTGCTCCACCTGCTCAGACCAGAAAGGCGCACGAAGTCTTCAGGGACATCCAGGGCCGCACAGTTGGCCTCTGGTGATAGCACCTTGTCTAAAAGGACAAGGCACAGTCAGGTGTGGAGTTGCACACCTATAATCCCAGCACTTGGGAGGCCGAAGCAGGAGAATCTCAAGTTGGAGCCCAGCTTGGACACGGTAGCAACTTGGACTCTGTCTTAAAATAAAATTTTAAGCCAGATGTGGAGAATGGGCTGGGGTTTAGCACAGTGCAAGGGCCCTGGCTTTAATCCCCAGCAGCACAACATAAACAACAGACTAAAGGACAGGGGACAGGGATGAAAGCCTCCTCCCTGCTTCCCGAAGAATACACCCCTCTACATGGTGTGTGCTGGGCAGACAGAGCTGGGCGCCAGACGCTGGGACCAGTGAGACCCCGGGAACTGGACCAGGCCACAGTGCGGGGAGGCCACTGCGTCCCTGAGCTGCAGGAGCACTGACAGTTGGCTGGGCACCTGGGCAGACACCAGGCCCAGCAGCCTCCCCATCAGGTGCAGCTTGGAAGGTGACTTCAGAGCCACACCCCAGGTGTCTGCAGCCTGGAGAACGGACAGAGGAGCAGGCCCAAGGCGAGGCCATCAGCCACCACAGAGCGGAGAGGCAGGTGGGAAGGGGGACAGAGGGGCAGTGTGGTGGCAGACTCGAGGTCAGGCCTACAAGTGGCTGCTTGCTCCACGAGGGGGAAGGTGCTGCAGGGAGCTCCCGAGTGCCCTGGGGACGGGGTGAAGCCTGCCCTGAAGGCTGGAAGGCAGTGAGCTTGGCAGGACAAGGAAGGGGCAGCAAGAATTGGGAGGACGAGGGCAGGTGGCCCAAGGCCCAGAGCTCCAGAGAGCTGGGTGCTTGAAGAGGGAGACAGAGCAGAGCCAGGGAGCCCGGCAGGAGTTGGGGTGGGCGGGTGCTGCTGCAGGGCAGGAGTGGCCCATGGAGACAGACTTGGGCTGACAGGGCACTGCAGGAGATTCAGCCCTGTAGCCTCCTGGTGGGCACACGCAGTGGGGCTCAGTGGCGCTGCAGGCCACCCTGGAGTCCTAGATTCCGCGCCAGATTATGGGCTGATGACCTGACCCTGGCCTCCAGGGCCAGCAGAGGTGTCCACGGGACTGGGACGGGTGCATCTCGGTACAAGGAAAGCCTTGGAGGGGACCCCAGGACCACCTCCTGCCCCTCAGCACTTCCGCCCCTGCCCTGCAGAGGTGACCATCCAGACCACCAAGGGGGGCCCAATGTGGGGGCCGCCCCAGGGCTGGCGACGCTCCTCCTGCTCGGTCTTTCTTTACTACAAACTCTGTTCCTGAATCAGTGGGCCCCTGGGATGTGGCGGCACACGTTTGTAACCTCAGCACGTGGGAGGCTGAGACAGGATCACAAGTTCCAGGCCAGCCCCCTCCCCAAACTGGTAGGTCCAAAGAAGAATGCAAAAGGGGAAAAGACAGCAGCAGGTTAGTGTGACTTGACTGTCCCCTTCCGGACAGAAGCTGCAGGCTCTCCACCTGGGGTACCCCAAGTCTGACCCTATGCACCCACGGACGCTGCCCCCCGCTGGGGACCTCACCTCACTCTTCCAGGTTGGCCCCCACCACACCCTGGAAACCAGCACAACCAGAGCCTCTTTCGTTTGTCGCAGGAGTGTCACAGGGACCCCGGCCTGCACGCCCCTCCTGAGAGTGCGCCAGAAGGAGGTGTGCTCTCGCTGAGTGGTGAGTCAGCACCTTCCGCTCCCTCGACTTCCACACTCATTAGAGACCCGAACTGGCAGGGGACAGCCCCAGCTCCTGCCATGGCCCCCACAAGGCGCAGCAGGACGGCCGGCGGGGCCCACTTCCCCGGTGACACTGAGCTTCTACCTGGGTGGAAGCACCTGGGCCCAAGTGTTCATGGCCTTCTGCTAAAAACGGGGGCCAGCCCCGGAACAGCAGAGCGCGGGGCACGTGGGCCACTCAGCAGAAGGGCCAGGCCAAGGGCAGATGGAAGGAAGGGCGGCCACTTACACGGATTCCATTTCCAGGTCTTCGTCCTCCTGAGACAGCTGTAGGTAGGGGTTGTCTGAAGCCGGCCGGAATTTGTACCCCGTCAGGACAAAGAACACCAGCGTGGCCATCTCATCCAGGAGCTGCACATTTAAAACCCACTAAGCCAGCTGAGCTAGCCCCGCCTCCGCCTACTGGGTACAGGGCAGTGCGGCAGCCAGGACCACACTGAAGAGGGGCTGCCTGAACCAGTTCCCAGGGGCACCGATTCTTGCTGGGGTGTTAAGAGTGTGGGACCCAGGGCCTCGTGATATGGGACACGTGCTCTACCATAGAGCCACATCCCCAGCTTATACACTGGTACCTTTTATTTTTTCATTACTGAGACTCAAACCCAGGGCCTTCCACTGAGTTACATTCCTAGCCCTTTTATTTTGAGATGGGATCTAAGTCACTAAATTGCCCAGGTTGGGCTTGAACTCATGATCCTCCTATCTCAGCCTCCCAGAGTGCAGGATTATAGGCAGGCGAACCCCAGGCCCAGTTCACTGGTACCTTTTGAGAACTCATTTTATACCACGTTTTCCTCCAGTGCTTGAAGCACAGGGCGAGTTCATCAAGAAAAAGGGTGTGTAAATCACTTGGCCAACACTGGCGGGGAAAGGCTTCTAGGCCACTGCAAAGACCCCGCATGGCTATTGTCAGGGCAGGGGAGGAGGGCAGGCTTCTGAACCTCTCGGAGCCCTGCAGCGGAAGGCAAAGACCAGGTCTCCTCCAAGTTGTTTTTTTTTTTGGTACCGGGGATCAAACTCGGGTCCTTGCGCTTGTGCAGCAGGCGGCGAAACCACTGAGCTAAATCCCTGGCCTCCTCCAAGTTTTAATTACATTCTCTCTGCCTGAGGCTCTTCTCTTCAGAGTTTTTGAATTCAAAACTACAGCCAAAAATGGAATTCTCTCTAGATTGCCCTGGTAACCCAGCAGCCTCCTTGGATAAACAGAAACCTAAGCATCTAGCGGCGCTGGAAGGTGCAGGCGGCTACCCCCATAAATGAGAGCAAGCAGAAGCCAGGCCCAAGACTGCCCGACACACGTCCTCAGTCCCCAAGGTATCCGAGGCCGGCACACCTGGTAAAGCCACTTCCACTGGAAGGGGACGGCCAGCTTCAGGAGGAACGCGATGATCCTGGTGAAGTATATGTAACACACAATCTGCAGGAGAGAAAAAGGAAGGAAAACCAGCAGGGAGATGAGATGAGGTACAGCTGGAGTCCAGGACTCAGAACCCCCACACACAACTACTACAGTGCTAACTGACATGAAGAGAGGTGACTCCTGCTGGTCCTATTGGAGAGGAGTTCTCTGTCACTAGGCATGGCCACCGCAATGCCTGGGAAAGACAAACCCTCCTCACCTGGCCACACACACCCCTGGGCTTGTTGCCAGAGGGCTTGGAGGAACAGCTACCTGTCCTCAGGGAGGACGTGGACTGCCAGTCTCCTCGACAGCAGATGCTGGGAGTGGTCAGGGGCTACAAGGGGGACAATCTGCTCGGAAGGGGCCTTGTCTCTCTTCACTGTGACGGGGACTTAGTGTGCTGCCCCAACACAGCCTGCTCTCTGGGACCAGGCTTGGGTGCCCAGGACAGGCCTGGGAGCCCGAAGAGGCCCTTGTTCTGGGGGACAACACCATTCCTTGATAAAACCAGAGCCCAGTGGGCTGCCGGTCCCTGCTGGTCTACTGAAGCTGCGAACAGCTGCTCAGATGCAAGTGTTGTCTGGCAGGACATTCAATGCCCAGACTGCAGCGAGCTGGGAAGGCCTGTGAGGAGTCAGAGGCAAACCCTGCAGCTCCGCACTGCAGGTACACAGAGACGCTGCCAGCCTCGGGGACAGTGCGACTGCCTGGGGGGCCACAGCTGGCTGTGCACCCACCACCACCAGGGTTTAAGTTTTACAAAAACTGCCTCAATTTTCTACTCCTAAGGGAAATATTCTCACAACACAAGACTAGCTTCCTGCAGGGAAGTCTGAGCCGGCGGGGTGGGGAGACACTCCGGTAACATTAGGGGAGAAAACAGGCTGTGGAAGAACACTGCAGTGCGATCCCATTCTCCTCCAGGAATAACCTGGTGAGGCAGAGGCCTGGAAGAGCCAGGGAAGGAGCCTGGCTGGGACCAGTACCCTGGGAGGTGGCGCCTCGGGCCTGGTGGGGCTGCTGGAATTCCTGTGCTTCTGCTTTTACATCAAGCACACATTACTTTCCTAAGTTGGTTTGGGTTGTCTTGTTTTTCTTTTTTTGTTTTGTTTTGTTTTTTGGTACTGGGGATCAAACTCAGGACCTTGTGCTTTGGAGGCAGGCAGCAGAACCACTGAGCTAAATCCCCAGCCCCAACTGTCTTGTTTTTCTGAGGCAGGGTCTCACTATGCAGTTCAGACTGGCCTCAAACCTCAGGGAAACCCTCCTGCCTCAGCCTCTTGAGTGCTGGGATTACAGGTACTATGCCCTACTATGCCCGGCCACTTTTCTATGTATTTTAAACCAAACCTAAAACTAAAACTTAGGAAGAAGTGATCCAGACGTTTAATTTCTGTTTAAGAGACAACACGATCGGAGGCTATAAAGGAGAACCCGAGCAGGGCCTGGCAGCTCAGCTTCGCATGCTTCCCTAATCTTTCCAAGCTCATTTGCTCCACCCCAGGAAATGACTGCTCACAAGGCTTAGGGTTCCTTTTACTCACCAAGACGTAATAGTGTCTGAAAAGCTTCAGCTTTGCTAAGTTGATAGCAGCTGGGGAGAAGAAAGAACAAAATGAAAAGCTTGTTGGTATCCTTTCCCGCTTCCTACTCCATTTTTTGACAGGGCCTCACTTTGCCGCCTAGGTCACCCCCAATTCCTGGGCTCCAGCAGCCCTCCCACCCCAGCCTCTGAGCGGCCAGATCCTCCGAGCACCACTGCGCCCCATCAGTCCCAAGGAGCCCGAGCCCAGAGGCACAGCCGCACTTCCGGGAAGCAGGCTGCGAGGCAGGCTCCCCTCCCACAGCCGGGAGAGACGGGCTCGGGCAGCTGACCCAGCTGCAGTGCTGCCCACCCGGCCCTTGCCCCTGCCCCCAGGGAGCTGGCCTCATGGGCAGAGCAGCTGAGACTGCCCCTCCCTGGGCTGGCCCCCGAGCCCCGCCTGGGAGCTCCCAGCAGCTGAGGATGTAAGCCCAGTTAACCCGGGGCATCTGCTCGACTTCACCTCAGTTTTCCCTGCGGGTCTCAGAGTGAGCCCTTCACACACACCCTCCCTGGGTCCATCCCACCTGCGCGGCACTCAAAGTCACACTCAAGGTCGCCGAGCCAGCCCATCTAACTTCCTGACACAGCCGGACTATGAAATATTGATGACCACGGAGGGCAGGCTGGCTCCCTCCCCGGTTAGCCACTCATTCATCACAAACCTTCCTGCAGGAGGCAAATTAATTTTGCTTAATAGCATTCAATTACGGATTCAGCTTAAGAGTGGGACTGTTGGTGGCAAAGGCTCAAATTTCCTCTTCCTCTTTCCCTGGCTCATGATTTGTGGGGGGCACTCAAAGCTTAGGAATCCAAAACCCTAAAGCTATGCTAGCGCTGAGTATTAAGGAATAACCTGCAAGACCATCTCCGAGAGCCCTAGCATGGATGGGGGGTCCTGAGGCTGAACTGGGCCACAAGACCCCCCACACCCCCCAGAGCTGCAAAGGACTTGTGTGCACACAAGGCTCAGAGGGCCACAGGGCATCATGGGTGCCCCTGGGAGGCTCGCGCGGAGGATCCCCTGTACCCTGCTGCTTCCTGCCTTTTTCACACAGACGGTGCGAACCAAAGGGCCCTGACTCGAGCCAAGCCTGGGAACCAAGCACTCAGGGATACAGCAACCTCACCTGCTCCTGGGAGCTTCCGTGCCTCCTGCTGGCCAACGAGGTCCCCATGAACCCAGTTGGCCACACCGGTACCACCCGAAACCCTCTCTGAAGGCCTGAGGGGCTGCACCTACGAGACTGGGAAGACATCAAGTCGCCCCAAGTCTTCCAAGTCCTGTCTGCCAGCCCGACTGAGGAAAGGCTACTGCGCCTCACCCAGGCCTCGGCTGGCAGAGAAGGGTCCCCTGCCATGCCCAGATGCCCAGCTGCAGGACAGGGACCGGCGGACTGCTGTGGCCACCGTGCAGTGGCAGGCACAGGCTCCAGCCAGGCCGAGGGAGAGGCTGGCATCAGGCAGGGCGGAGCAGGCCCAGTGCGGTCACTCAGATCTGAGCTCCGCGGAGCGCAAGGCCACGGTCAGACCTGCACTTCCCAACAAGCTCTCAGGAAGGACGAGAAGAGGAGCACAGCCGGGTCTGCAGTGCCAGTGCCAGTGCCAGCGAGGTTCGGCCAGGGCAGGAACCGCAGGCTTCCCTACCTGGTGTCCAGCTGGGGGACAAGGCGACGGGTGCAGCCTGACGGGAAGAAGATGAGGGAATGGGGATGGACAGGAGGACCGGTGGGAGCCTGCAGGCTAAGACCATGCTGGGGAGCGTGGCGGAAGCCGGACTGTGACGCAGGCAGCTTGACTGGCTGCACGGTGACCCGACAGCACACCCAGGCTCGTGGACAGACACCACGCCCCGACCTCGGGAATGCAGTCCCTGAGAGATACGGCCACAACCCCAGACCTCAGGCTGTCCACAGCCCAGCGAACACCCTGCTGATGTCCCCAGCTGCCTGGGTGTCAGCCTCAAGGTGCCCTGGTGCTCGGGGCAGTAAGGGCGGCAGAGGTGAGTGGAAACAGGAGCACTGAGCAGTTGGAGCGCAGGCCCTGTGCATCTCAGTGTGGGGTCCAAACTCCAGCTCTCCTCTTGCTGGCTATGCAGCCTCAGATAGCTCACTGAACCTCTCTGGGCCCTGCTTCTTCACCTGTGAGGGCAGGGACTGAAGGCCTCCCTGAGGGCTGCAGGAACTGAGCCGGCACGGGGAGGTACACAGCTCACAGTGCCTGTCAGACCACGGGGTCAGCTCAGGACCAAGGTGGCATCTGTGCTGCAGCAGCTGCCACACTGCCAGGCAGCCAGGCTGGGGTGACAAAGCAGGGACGCAGGGCCCAGAAGCAGCGCCATCCCCGAGTCAGGTGGGGGCAGGGCTGCACCAGCTGGGGAGGAACCTCACCTGCACCCCAAAAAAAGCAGCCAGGCCCATGATGCTTGGGAACCCAACTGCCCTTGCTTTCCTGCCGACCTGGGGCTGAAAACGCTGCCGCTTGCTGCTTGCTCGGCTCCCGTGGGACTGAAGGTTCCCCAAGGCTGGGCTATTTCTGACCCCACAGGGGAGGAGCAGCAAATATGGTCAAGGAATGAGTTTGGGGAGGAGAAATGCCCAGCGGGAGCCAGGGGACCAGCATCCCGGGCCCAGTGTGAGCTCAGCACACTGCCCACTCCACACGGCGGGATTTCCGGGTGAGGGGGGAGTGCATCCCAGCAGGTGGGCGCCGCAGTCACCTGGGACGGCCTTCAGGGGCCGAGGCCCAGGCCGTCCCCGTTCGGGAGGGACAGGGCCCAGCTAGGCTCCGAGACCCGTGCTGGCCCCTGCTCCCCACACACCCCCACTCCTCTCCAGACAGGTTAGCAGGGAGCGGTCACTCCTGCCCCAGCTGATTCCCTGCCAGGACAGTGACGGAAACAGCAGCACCCCTGCCCGTTTGCTGGGCGGCCACCGAGTGTCCAGCCAGCGTCGAGCAAGTTCCCCTCTGGCCTTGGTTCGCTGCACCTGTGTGAGGGCGGTAGCCTCAGCACCACTGTTGCAGATGAAGCCCAGCCTGGCAAGGGTCAGGCAGGCACCGAAGGGACAGGGCTCATGGGCAGAGGCCCCTTCCCCCAAAGGCCCTGTTCTTAGCCCGAGCCTCACATCAGGGCGAGCCCCTTGTGGCTGGGCTGTCAGGCCACAGCAGTGCAGGGTGACAGAGTCACGCAGGAGTAGCCCGCAAGCCGTCCTCGGAGCGGGCGCCGAGATCAGGGACACACAGGGCCCACGGCAGCCTGGAGCGTGAGTTGTTTCCCACCATCCTTTCTCGGCTCAGTAACACCCACCCCGCCCTCCTGCCGCTCTCTCCCTGCCCAGCAGCAGAGAGAACTGAGTCAAACACCAAACTGGAGAAGCCAAGATGACAGCGAAGCTAGGTGCTGGCCTCTCGGGCACTGGGCCACGCTGGCCTGGAGGCATTCGGGGGATGCCCTCTGCCCCCCGAACCCACTTCACAAACACCACGCAGGCACAAGACTGGGAAAGGCTGCGGGGAGCCAAGAACCTTGCAGAAAAGGAGATTCCTTCATCTTCACACCACCCAGGTCACACGAAAAGGACTCAGAGCACATTCCCAGCAACGATTCAAGGCACGCCGTCAGCCATCAGATGCAACAGCAAAGGGCCACGCATCTCACCCGAAGCAAAGTTAAATCTTAGATGGTAACGCAAAGCACCACAGAAGCCAAACTGGCTCATCAGTGGCCCAGCTGGGCACGGCAATGGTCACGGTGTCCCTGCTACTCGGAGGGTGAAGCAAGACCACCAGGCCACCCTGGCCCCACACACCCCGGGACCCCGTCTCACAACAGCAAAACAGAAAGAGGACTAAGGGCATGGTGGTGCCCGCCTATGATCCCAGAACCCAGGGAGGCAGAGGCAGGAGGGTCACAAGTTGGAGCCCCGCCTGGGTGACTCAGCAACATAGTGGGATCCCGTCTCAAACTGGAAAAGGGCTGGAGATGTCACTCAGTGCAGAGGCCCTGGATTCGATCCCTGGACCCTCAAGAAGAGGGTGGGAGAAGGTGGCCAGAGGGCACGCATCAGCCAGAAGCAGCCTGCGCAGCCTGCCGTGAGAGCACAGAGGCCAGTGCCCCTGCTGCTGTCTCTCAGCAGCGCTTGCCCCTCACCATGCCGAGGCTGGGCTGCCAGGTCCCTGGGAGAGGATGAAGGTCGGACTTCTGGTGGGGGTGACCGGCCTGGTTAGCAGGAGGCCTGCGCTTCCGGGGACATGGCAGTCGTGCTCATACCCAGGCAGAAGCAGGGGTGCGGCAGGCCAGAGCAGGCGTTGTCAACACCGCCACCCCGCTGGCGGCCTGGGCTGCCTGGTGGCCAAGCATTCCTGGATGCTCAGGTTCCGTGCTGGCAAGGCTGCCTGACGACAGCAACAACAGGGGCACCGGGGCCACCACAGGCCGCTCCTCAGGCCTCTGCCTCCAATCTGCACGCCTCCGGTAGCTGCTGACACTGGGAGGGAGGCCAAGGTCAGGGAAGTCCGATCCCCAGTGCCACCCAGAGAAAGGAGCCGGCCTTGGGTCAATGACATCACAGGAATTTCTGGCTGATGCATTGAGGGAAAAGTACTGAGAAGACGTTTTTGGTGATTAAAAAATATTTAAAGCTCACTGTAAAAGTCAGCCTGAGAAGGCAGGGGATTTAACTCAGTGCCACTGCCTGCCTCGAAAGTGCAAGGACAAGGTCCTGAGTTCGATCCCCAGTACGGGGTCGGCCTAGTAAGATACTGTCTCTAGGTTTGGTCTCAGCCAGGGCTCTAAGCCGCCCTAAGACCATGCAGCCTCTGAGCAGTGCTGAGAGCCGCAGAAGGCTCTCCCGGTGCCGTGATAAAGCACCCAACCAGGCGCTGAGCACACTGTGCTCAGGGAGGCAGCGGGTGCAGGCTTCAGGCCTCAGATGCCACCTCGTGCCACAAGGGATGCAAGAGTGGCCCAGGGGCCGGGTGTCCACTGAGAAGGTGCTGTCCCCTCTGGACAG